TGTATATATATATATATATATATATATATATATATATATATATATATATATATATGACACTTTCAAAAGATAGCATCAGCTAGAACCATTGTGGTGCTATCTTAGTAACAATAAAGAAAGAAACTGCTTTATGAGTGATTTAATAGTTTAACTAGTGATGAAATGTAGCATGTTTAGCAATTACTGAAGATTTGCTGGATTCAGAAATTATTGTAGTTTAAGTTGATGATGAAATGTAACTCATTCTGCTGCTCCAGTTAGTGTTTCCTACCACCTTTCCATGGTTCAGTTCTCCATTTCCTCCTGCTGATTGTTTAAATAGGGCACTTTGCAACACACCTTTTTTTTGCAGACAGCAAAAAAAAAAGAAGCAGCAACAGCAGCAGCAGCAGGAGAAATGGACTGATTGTAAATAAACTACTGTGTCACTTGGATCCTGTATAAATTTCCCCATTGATTGCAAATAAAGACATAATCTCTGAAAATATGGCTGGGTTCTATATATCATATTAATGTAGAATGTGGTGTGTTTGCTTGTAAACATGTATTTGAGGCCTATCTAATTGTTGCATAGTGTTTAATGATCAGCTGAATGATAGTTGTGCATAATAGTATACATTTGTCCTAAGAAAAGAGCATAATACAGAAGAAACCAAATCTTCAGAACTGTTCTGTAGTTATAAAAATGGTCATGTCCTAAGTTGCCATTCTCTGGCTAAATTTTAAGGCATGAACAAAGATTGCCTAGCTCTTTCAGTCTCCTATGCAGTGTATTTCTGAGATGGTGATAATGAACTCCTGATTTTTCACTTCAGTTCTTTTATTCAGTATTATTCAAGTCATTTTAATATTTGCTTTTATTTTACCCAATTCCTTATCTCCCTTTCCCCCATACTTTATTTTTAATAATTAGAAAGTATATTTCTTTCCTAGTCCAAGCCTGTAGCATTTGCTGTCAAGACTAATGTCAGCTACTGTGGAGCGCTAGATGAGGATGTTCCCGTACCAAGCACTGCCATTTCTTTTGATGCCAAGGATTTCCTACACATTAAAGAGGTAAATCATATAACCAAATCTTCCCCCCCCCCCCCCCCCCCGAGCTTGAATCTAAGCAAGGTTTGACTGTGCAAAGTAGAAAATGAAATGGAAAAACAGCCAGTGTTTTACACAGTATGGCACTCATTTAAAAAACACTGGCCCAATCTTGTTGTTCTCGTGGAGTGTTGACCTTCAACCTTCTTAATTTTCATGCCTGGAATTATGAGAGTTGACACCAATCTATCTCAGTAGCATTGCGTTGGTAAAGGCTGGATGAAAGACTGCTATTAGGAGCTGCTTACCTTGAGTGACATTTCAAACAGCTTAGAGGTTGTATACCTCTGAAGCCTCAGTGAGACCAAGTGGGGTTTGATGTCATTCATTATTTCTTGAACAACACACAACAATAAAACATAGGCTCTTGCACTACTGGATTTCCTTAGTGAATAGTTAGGAATCCTCGGGATGCCATGAGGAGCAAATGGTTTGATTTGTGCCTTGCTTATAAAAATACTACCTTTGCATTTCATATTTTAGAAGACCTGATATGCATAGGACTTCAATGCCATCTCTCTTTTTAATAGTCAAGTAGTACCAGAACATTTATTTTATAAGTGGTTTAGTTATTTTTGCTTCTCTTCCATCCTGATCAGATAGAAACGATTCATCTCATGCTAAGCTTTTCTCATTATTCCATGCGAGACTAATTTTACTAATTACAAATCTATATCACTGCAACATTACAAAATTAATTTATTATTTGGGAGTATCGTTAAGTTGAATGGTAGTTCTGGTAAAACAGAATGTACAGAGTCTTGACCTTAGTTGCCAATGTCTAGATTCAATCTTGAGATGAAACTGGGTATGTTTTATTTTGTTGTGGAGAAATCTGGAATGAAAGGACAAAATCTATTTCCAAAGTGGAGCTATGTAAGTTGGTTTTCTGAAATAAAAGATGTATTCTCAATATTTTTTTTATGGAACTGACTTTCAAATGAGGATCAGGAGGATTGGGTTACGATTACAACTTTATGCTAATTTCTAATTATTATGGACAAAGAGCATTTATTGCAAATAACCAGAGGAATCCTGCATTTGGAATGAGAGGTAAATAAGGTACATACTTAAGAGACCATTTGCCCTTTTATTCCCCCACCCCACCCCACCCCTTATGCTGGTTCTTGGCAGTATTTAAGTGGGTTATTATTGCTGAAACACAGTGTTTTATGGTACATATAATTGTTTTTAATAAGACATAAATTATACTCTCCTTGGTGTTTGACACTGAGCTTGGAAATTAAGTATTAGAACAATGTGCAACTATATCACACACTCAGCCCCCCTCCCTTCTCCTGAACAAGATGATGGGAAAAATGATTTGATAAGGTTCTGCCACTACTTGAATTAGCAGTTTCTGGAGGCTGTGTATATGTGTGTATTTTGGATCGTAAGTGCTTAGGAACCAGACACCCTTAAATATGTCTAGTTCAGACATCAAGTGAAGTCACTTTGGTAGCAAGCTAAAATGTCAGCAAGAATGGATAACTGCACATTGAAGATATCTCATTCATCATCCATTAGATAATATATTATGTACTCTTAAACAGACTGTGGCAACATTTATTGCAATGCATAAACCTCTCATGATTAGTTATCAATAGGAAGAAGATAGATTTCTTCTTTGTATACTGCCATGTGCATCTATATTTATTTTTATGGATTTTTTGGGTTATGTATACTGCGCAGAGTTCAATGGAGTTGGGTGGTTGATATATTTGAAGAAATGAAGGAATGAATACATGCTTTGAAGAACATAAGGAAAGTGCTTTTAATGAAATAAACATTGGTATTCATGTAACATCCAATTAAATCAACTTTGTAAATGGAACAGATTTTTTAAAAAAGCAGTCTAGAAATTTGGTAGTTCCCCCAATATATCCTCATAAACCCTCACCCTGTCAATTAATAAATGTATGAAGTGTTTCTAATATAACAGCTCTTGAACTTGCGTCTGTGGTGAATCTCACAGGTCTCTCTTTGCCTTTTGCTTTTCTCCTTCTTAGCTACCTCCTCATTGTCTTGATCTGCTCAAAAGCCTCTGCTTTATATATTCATTGGGTTACACATACTTCAGTGTGAATTTATTTCTACCAGTGGGGGAAATGGGAAAGGAAGATACAAAATTGTAGCACTGGGATATTGGCAAATGGAGAGAAAAGAAATCTCGAGGAAAAACACTAAAGTAGGGTCATAATTTGGTTCTTCCATAAATGCATGTTTACATATTTTGGTCAAGTAAGGATCTGCAGAAAGTTCTGCTGGAGGTAGCATAACATCAACATAAAATACAACTCAGAGGTTGGCAGCCTTTGAGGGCGAATGTGTCGTTCTGAGGGTGCTATGTCACCAAATGTCTGCCCTTAGGACAGGGGTATCAAACTTACATCGTCATGTGACGCATCAGGATTTTTTTCCCCTTCGCTAAACCAGGCATGGGTGTGGCCAGTGCATGACGCATCCAACCCGCAGGCCGCGAGTTTGACAGCCCTGCCCTAGGACATACTTCCTTATTCATAAAATCCCATGGTGACTATAACCATTCATAAAACACCCATATATTTCCCCCTTCAGAAGGCTACAGCTATCCAAAGCTTTTATTTTCTAGGAAAACTTGCAAGGTTTACATGGAAGCCATATACATTCTTGTAAAATAAAGACTTCAAGGCTGGCACTTCCATTTTCAGAACACCATCTTCCCATTATTATTTTTTTAAATCAAGTAATGTTTTTAAAAAGTCATTGGAGCGGGGAGTCTAGCTAACTTCATATGAGATATCCAAGGGAACATTGTCCACTTCTCAGGAGATAAATCTACTGAGAGCACCAGTGTGAAACTAATTTTAGTTAAGGAAATTCACCTGATCTTTGAATTGAATTAACAGGGGTTCTTTTCTTAAAGTGATGGGGCTAGAATCAAAACTAAATCTGAGATATTTTAAATTATATTTAGAAAGTCCATGGTAATTTATTTTTAGGAGTAGTTTGTCGTGTACCACTGAATCAAAGGCTTTACAGAAGTCTATGTAGATTGCGTCTATTGCTTTGCCCTGGTCGAGTTGTGTCGTCCATATGTTTTTGCAGTGTAAGAGTTGCAGATTACAGGATAGTTTTTTTCTGAAACCAAATTGTTTATTGGAGAGTAGGTTGTTTGTCTCTAAGTGGAGGATAATGGATTGGTTAATAATTGATTCCATGACTTTACAGGTGACGCAGCATAAGGAGATTGGTCTGTAATTTTCAACTAGGCTGGGGTCTCCCTTTTTGAAGATGGGGGTGACCGTGGCTTGTGACCATAGGTTAGGCAAGGAGCTGGTCCTGAAAGATTTTTCAAAGATTATGCTTAGAGGTTCTGCTATGGCAGTGGATAGCTTTTTTAAGACGTAGGCACATATTCCGTCCGGTCCAATAGATAGAGATGGTTTTAGATTGCGTAGTGCTTTTTCAACATTGTCTTCTGTAAAATCGATATGTATTAGATCAGTGTAGTTTTCTGTGGTTCGGCCAGGAAATACTGGGCATGAGCCATTGCTGTTTACAAATACTGAGCCAAAGAATGTGTTAAAGATGTTGGCTTTAATGGTGTCGTCGTTGCAGTCTTTACCATCAGGTCCTATCAAGGGAGGGATGGACCTTGAGTCTTTTAGTTTGTTGTTTACAAAATTGTAAAAAGCTCGGGTGGAATTGGTGCTTAGAAGGTTTTCCTCTTGTTTAATGTGATAATTGGTGCATTCAGTCTTTATCTGGTGGCATAAATTTTTGTATCGATTTTTGAAATTGGCAACGTCACCAGATTTGTTTTTCCGCCAGAGTGATCTCTTTTTGGATTGAAGTTTCCTTATTGATATGGGTAATCTGCTTTTTTGTTTTGTTTTGGGAGTTGTTGTTGGAACATATAGTTTGATGACTCTTTTGACTTCAAGTAAAAATATGTTGTAATGGTCTTCAACGGTATTGCATCCAGTGAATAGAGATTGCCAATCAAGGGATAAGAGATCATTGTCTATAAGATCATAGTTGCCTTTTTTGAAGTTACAGTAGGGGATTACATCATTGTGGTGATTTTTGTGTGGATGTATGTTGAGACAAAAGTCAATCATATTGTGGTCACTACTGGAAAAGGGTTCTTTAGTTTGTATTCCGTAAATTAGGTTCAAACTGTTGCAGAAGATGAGATCGAGGCAGTTGTTTAGTCTAGTGTTGTTGATTACTAGTTGTTCCAGTCCCAGATTTGTAATATAATTACATAAACTTAAATGCCTATTAAGATAGTTAATTTATTACTCTCTATATTATTTAATAATTTCTCACGTCTTCAAATTAATGGTTACAGTTCAGCAGCAAAGCTACAGCTTTGATTTAAAATATTGTAGAGGTTATACAGGAATCAATAATGTGGGAAGGGATGTATGTAATGGGAAGAGAGAGCAGGACAAGGCATGCCAAGCTAAGTGGAAAGAAGGGCAAAGGAAAGACAGAAACAAATATTTCCTTTGTTACAGAAATATAACAATGACTGGTGGATAGGAAGATTAGTTAAAGAAGGTTGTGAAATTGGCTTCATCCCAAGCCCATTAAGGTTGGAGAATATTCGGATCCAGCAAGAACAGAAGAGAGGACGTTTTCACGGAGGGTAAGATAATATACTGGCTTTATCAAAATTGACTTTTTAAATATTAACCGAATTCAGCTTTTCAGTGATTTGCCCAGTACTTGTAAGCTCTCAAAATGTGGCATTTGTTTTGTGACAGATGAGAAACTATTCAAATTGGGGCTAACAAAATGGGGACTTCAGGTCTTTATAAAGGATTAGATCACTGTTCCTGAACTTGTGCCACCAGAATGGACTTGACTGATCTCAAAATTTCCAGCCAATATAGTGAATAATGTTGCCCTAGATGGGAATTCAGTGACATCTGGAACATACCAGCATTTAGTAGGCTAGTTTTGATAGTTTTGATTGTGCATGCAATTGCTTTGCCTTTTTGGCATTCTATTTAATACCTACATATTCATCTTTAGTTTCATGTTTCTAATTCTTTTATATAATCTTTCGTTAAGATTAAAGCTTTAGAAGCATCTTGGAAATGAATAAAGTCCAAGTACTGTCATCAGTTCATGATTGATAAAAGATTTCAGTAGCAATATGCCCTAGTTTATGGAGAGCTATCATCTGATTGAAGCATTGCCAGAAGAATCATGCTTATTTCAAAGCATCCTGAGTTTGATGTGCTGCCCAGACCAAGCTAGCTTCAAGATTTTTTTTAAAGAGAGAGAGAAACCTTAAGAGCACAAGTGTTTTGAAATTGGCCATCAGTAGTAATCATCAGAAGAGTAATTGGCAATAAGCTGAAAGGTTGACTTCATTTCTGTTTAATCTGCACTGTGAAATGTGTTTTTGTTTCATCAGCCTCTATGTTTTCTGTTTGGCAGTTCATAACATCTACTCCCCTACCACTGGTAGCAGATGCTTTTAGATTTGTTACAGCCAATAGTTTTTGCTTCCAAACTCTATCCTTTAAAAATAAATAAATATGGGGCTAGGTTATATATCATCCTAATTTTGAAAATAGTTATTCTGAGTGAATGGAGGATGTAAATACTCTTCTAATATTTTTATTTCATGCTATTGATTAAAAATAAAGTTAAAAATTTAAACCCAAATCAGAAATTTACAGAAATCCTTAGTTGCATTCATTTGTTATAGTAGAAGTTTATTATTAAACTAAAACCAATTGTCAGATTTAATTTGTATACGTAGGAAATGTTCTACTGAATGTAATGGTGCATAATCCTAGATGGGAATATGATTACTCTGTAAGAACATATATTATCAGTCTGCCCGATTTTTATAGATTGTACTGCTTCTCCTTATAGAAAATACAAGATATTTCATTTCATTTCATTTTGTGTACAGACAATTATTTTAACTTGTCATTATGATATTAATGACAGGTGTAAACATTATCCACCACATGTCATTGACAATTCTTATAGTACAAGTAGTACAAATGATATTAATGACACTTGAGGAGCACAGTTGGGACGGGCATTTCAATTGTTAAGTGAAGTGGTCGTTGAGCGACACATGATGTGAGTATGACTTGCTATATGACTGCTGCTGTTGACTCTGGTTGTCAGAAGCTGGTTGTGAAGCATGCAAATCAGAGATGGTATTCAGCAGGTTCTGACCAGTTTTGGAGAACCGGTAGTGGAAATTTTGAGTAGTTCAGAGAACCGTCAAATACCACCTCTGACTGGAGATTTTACAGTATCCCTCTCCTGCTACGCCCACCAAGCCACGCCCATAGAATCGGTACTAAAAAATTTGAATCCCACCACTGATGCAAATAGTGATCATGTGATCACGGAACACTGCAACGGCCGTAATTCCCATCACTTGCAAAGCCTCTGAATCTGAGAAACAGACCCAAATGAAATGAATTACTTTCACCAACAAAATCAAGTTCTGGGTTTTTTTTGTATAGCAGTTCTAAGTGTAACTCTCAGAGGTCTCTTTGAACATAATGGCAGTTGTTTTAGTGCATAATCTCAAGGCCTTTTACTTAGTCAGTTCCAAGTAATTGCCAATACAGATTTGTACCCAGCTCAACCTGAAATTAAGAACGGACGGAAACACTGTTGGCCTGTGTACCCTTCAGGCACATGGAAATAATACCAAAGTCCTGTTGTGCAATGTTTTCCCAGTGATCCAAATATTCAATGGGGTTCTTTATAATATAGGAAGTCAAGTGGGAATTCATCTTCAAGCCTTGGAGAAATGGTGTCTGGCACGTTTCGGGCTACACCCACTACCACTGGTAAGCTTTCAAAGTTTTCAGGGGAAATGAATTCCAAATAATTTTGATTTGGGAGGTCCTACATATAATGCGAACTTGTACTGTGCTGATGAGGGTCATGTGAGCCTCTTAGATGGACAAAGAACATGTCCGTGTGGACTGGCCCTCAAAATAATTGTACAGTAGCTGTGAAGGATTTTCAAATAGATCCTACTGTTTGTCTCAAAAGAATAAAATTTGTCCCTCCCCATTAAAGTTTTTATATCAAAATGTTCTGATTCTGAAAATCTCGGCTATGATGTCTACATGCATGTGAGGCTGTTACCATCTTTGCACCTTTGCACCATATTATCCTTTTTTAGTTGTGTGCCTTAGGTGGAGCACAAGGCAGTAATTTAAAATACGTCTAATGTATTCTTATTCTGGGAAAGAGCAAGAGAAAGGGACCTGTGGTAGCGTGGAGCATCTACCAGTTTGCTTTGTTTGAGTGCCACCAATTGCACCTGTCGTTCAGACATGTCAATTACTGAGATTTCAGTCTCGGGGGACAATGGTCCCTGATAAGCACCTGTTGTCAAAGGCTTTCAAGAGCCGGATTACTGAGTGGAGAGAGGAGACAAATTATTTGGGCCTAAATGAAAGGTGAACAAATGGCTTATACACCTCTTGATTTCTCTCTTGAATGGCTTCCCAGAGCTCCCTGACTTTACATCACCGAAATATGGCATGTTGATGAATTGTAGTCGATAATTTTGGTAGGAAATAAAAGGAAATAGGTATGCTAAGCCTCTGAGAATTCCAGTCGCATCCATTCCAATGCCATTATTATACCCAACCTCAACCTCTTCAGCCTTGCTAAGTGATGAGGATAATAATCCAAAATTGCCATTCTCAGTCACAAAAGTGGAAATGGATATATATTAAAAGTGCAACTTTCTGAACAATAGATAGGAAGCAAGGCGGCTATCCTGAAGCGGTGGTCGCATTCCTGTGGAAAGAAAGAGTAGCTGAAAACAGAGACTGAATCATTTCCCAAGCAGCAGCAGCAGCAGAAAGACAGACACAGGGGTTCAAACTTAGATGACTCCCAACACCAAATTATTCTGCAGCTGAATTCATGTTTGTATGGCTGCTATGCAGCAATTAAACAAAATCATCTTGTTTTTTTTTATCTTTCAGCAAAACAAAAACAAAAAGTGGTAAGTGCACAAGCTCCATCTAATGCCCACTAAAAAATTCTTACTGTACTCTTGCAAAAAGTTGGTGTTTACTAAATATTTTTTTGTCCAGACAGAACATCTGCCTCCATATGATGTTGTCCCATCCATGAGACCTGTTGTGCTAGTTGGCCCTTCTTTGAAAGGCTATGAAGTAAGTGCGCCTGTTAGTAACTGACATGCCAGACTTCTTTTAAACTGTATCAAACGGTTTGACCACTTTGTGGGATCTGATTATAGCAACTAAAGGTTGTCTTATGTTCTCCCCCCCGCCCCCCGGCTAACTATACAAACATATTTGAATTTAATGCTACTATTATCAAGCCAACTGTGAAACTTGAGACACACAGTTCTGCAGTGCCCTGTTTGAGCAAAGCCACTTTAATGGTTTATTACTGGGTAAATCTGAATCAGATAACGTGGTCTGACACCCATGAAATGAATAAACCAAGACTTGCAGAGAAAATGGAACTGTCTTGAGGAATAGATGGCTTTGCCAAAGCTGCAACACATTCCCTCCTTTAAAAAAAAAAACTGTTAAGGAAGATACATACATTCTCAGATAAAATGGACATCAATATTTCATTTTTGTTTGTCTTGAAACAGAAACAAAGCATATGCACGACAGATGGTGCGTAAGAGAAAGGACTTAGCTTTGCTCACTTGGAATTAAAAATGTCTGTTTAAGTGCACAAAAAATATCTCCCATGGTGCCTCCCAGGTCCCTTGCTTCCTTCTACGGTTTCCTTTCTAGAGTCTTTAATTTTAAACAAAAACTTAAAAGGAGCTGGGTTGCTGCAGAGCATAGCATCAGCCTCTATAATCATCTTTGTTTTCAGTGACTTTGCAATGGGTCCCATAGATGTAAAAAAAATGGTGGGAGACTACAACGCCATATTTTGTTTACAGTGTGTCCATTTATCCAGGAAAAACGAAGTTGGAAGGTGATTGAAAAACTTCTAGGGCAGAGATGGGGAATTATGGTCCCTTTGTGACTTGTGACTTTGGGAATTGAAGTCCACTAGTCATAAAAGGACCATAGTTTCCCACCCCTGATCTAGGGCACGGGTGTCAAACTAACGGCATCATATTGCCATCATATGACATTTTGCAACATTTTCCCCCTTCGCGGAGCTAGGGTGGGCATGGCCCGCGCATGATGCATCCGGCCCACGGGCCGCCAGTTTGCTACCCCTGATCTAGGGGGACAGAAGGAGTAATGTAAACCCTACCTGTACACTTTTAGATGAAGTGTTTTGTAATTGAACCTATCCACTGTGGAAACTATCTCTTTCTGTTTCCTTTCTTCCATGCAGACTGGTCTGTTTTGGATCTACTGCTAAACCATGATTTACACCCATCCACACCCACTGGAAGTGTACCTATTCCTGGTTTATGGATATAAGCTGGGATCATGAAACATGGATTAAAGTTGGCCTGTTTTGCTGAATCATAGTTAATATTAAATATGGCTTGGTTAAGTCCAGACATAATAGCTGGATTAATACATAACACTAAGCCATGGGGTTTGTTTGATGATGGTTCTGTTGGGTGTGCAAATCTAGCCATGGTAGTGATTTCACATATTAAGACTTAGTGCCTAAATATTTTGGTAGAAAAATAAAATGCTGTCAATTTCTTGGGGATTTGGAGAACAGAAAAGTGCACCCTGCAAAAGGAACAAGATAAACTAGCTGTCATTAAAGCTACTTCTTACCAAACTTAGTGGAGTTGATGATTTCTTTCATTTCTATCCTGCCCTTCTATCCTGTATGGATGAATTTTTAAGCATTTGGTTAAGTAAAATTTGGCTTTATTTTCCCTTTCCAACTCTATAGTTCAAATCCTTGCTGGCAGCATGAGCCAGCAAAGAGGAATTGTTTTTGGCAAGCGTAAAATAATATTGCCAAACATATTCTGGAAAGCCCAGAGAATTGTTGTGTTTAAAAAACAGACCAATTTGTGACATTTGTGCTTTCCCATTTGCAAGTGGCGAGGGAGGCATGTCAGAAAACTTTCAGGATCTTTTGCAGAATATTTAGTTCTTTCCATCTACCAAGATTAGAAAATGTCTGTTGAAAGAGATCTAACTCAGGCACCGCAGTCAATGTATATAGAACTTTTGAGTATTTGTGATGCCTTACTTTTCCACTTTTGTTCTTTTACTTGGGGTTTCTTTTTCTCTGTTATTGATCTTATTACTTCAATTTTTTTTTAATCTCTGCAAGGTGACAGACATGATGCAGAAAGCCCTGTTTGACTTCCTGAAGCACAGGTTCGATGGGAGGTGAGCAGTAATGTCCTTTTTCCCCCTTTTGTATTCGTGGTTCTCCCTAGAAGTCAGTGGTATCTGTACTCTGTAGCTGATTTCAGCTGCCATAGCATTTTATATATAGAAGCATACATGCACGAAAGCACATATGTCCATTTGTTTGTTTGTTTGTTTATTGTGTTTTATACCATTTCTTTAATCACTATATTATATATACTTAATAGGACTAACTGATTAGATATTTTAGCATGTATTATACATACCCAAAATAAATAAAATCGGGATTGTTCAGTTAATAAACTTATCTGCCATCTTATGCCTAGTTCTCTTGCAGAACTAAACTCAGTATATTTATTTTTGCCTGTAAGAATTCAACTTGTAAAATATACACCGAATTTTAACAAAATATTTTCCGCTGAAATGGATATTTTAAAACTTGAGTTTTCCACTTTCTGTTCGGTAAAGTTAAGTTAGATGAAATTATGTTGTTTTCTCTTAAAAAAAGAAAGAAAAGAAAGTACAAAATCTGTGCTGAAAAACAAATGTTGCCACCTCATTCATGATCAAAGTACTGAGAATTGTAGTTGACCCAAATTCCCAGGAATTATTTAAAAGGTAAGACAAATGTTTCTGGGAATAAGAAAGTAAAAAACAAAAATGGAAGTAGCTTGGAGATTTAAATTTTTTAATTTCTTTGGTTTAATCGTGCTGTGGTTCTCACTTATATGAGCACTATAAAATTTCCAGATTTTATTTTTGACAAAAATATTCACTCTCATTAGTCTAGCTTTTTCACAGAACTTGTCTCTGATGAATCCGTGGCTGATTGCCTAGTTCTGTTAATCTGAAGCTAAATCTTGCTTGTTCTTTGTTTAAGGAAGGTTATTTGCATGTTTAATAATTTCAGATCCAGGCTTAATTAACTTCTTCAGATTGCAGCTTTAGGATTTCTCAGGCTTTTCTCTCCTCTAAGCATTCATCTTAGATTGCTTACTGTTCCGGCTCCCTGGGTAATCCTTAATATTGGATGGAACAGGAAAATATTGCCCCCTGGAGGAATGATATATACTGTATCTCACATTAGATCTTAATATCTGAAGCGGTCTTTGGATGAAGGGGTCTTTGTGTACAAGTCTGGGTTTTGAAGCGAAGCAGCACTATTCTTTATTACTATTGGGATAAGAGAAGTCCACCAAAAACCACAGGACTGTAGACAAGACTAAGAAATCAGGAAAAGGCAGTGTTGTCTATGAGAAAATCTACCCTTTTCAGGTTTAGGTCAAGAGCACAATGAATTGGCAGGTCCCAAAACCTGATCTGCACATGATTGATCTTATGTGAGCAGTGGTGAAACATGCACCATAACTTCATGATCAAAACATCAGGCATCAGGTTGCAAAACATAAGGGTAGAGCCAATGTCATGGCATCACTTCTTGCACTATGCCCTTTTGACCTACTCTTGGTTTGTTGCAGGTGCTTATGCACATTAGACATGTTCATGCATATGCATTCTCCTATACACACATATTTCAAGTTAAGAAGCTGTTTTATACCAGCACTGTGATACATTTTTAAAAATCATGGCAGCTAATAGCAATTAGTAAGGTCTTAGGAATCTGGATCTGAAGATATGAGGAGGGATTGGAGACTAGAAATGCTAGTAGTGTAGAAGTGCTGATACCCTACCCTATATAGATCAACAAATCTCCCAGTTTCTTGGGAAGTCCCCTATGTTCTTATTATGAATATGAAAATTTATACTCTCTAGAAATACAACTTTCTTACATTGTATAACAACCCAAAGTAAATTTGAAAGGACTAGCTCTGCAGGGAGTAGTGTCTTATATTCATATACATCATAGCCAAGTTGCATCTAGTGATTTGTGCTCCAAAGCCATTGTGGAACTTCTGAATCTGAAAACATGATACAAGCTCTCCTACTAGAATTCAGGATGTTAGAAGACATCTTCTTGCATCATGTTTGCTTCCATCCATCTTCCTTCTGCCTCAAGGATGTTTTACTAACGTGCGGTAAATCCTGTAAATCTGGTGACAGTACTTCTGAACTTTGAAACTGCTTTTTCAATTGATCTTCTTAATTTACTGCTTAAATATTTTTGTGACATTTTCTTAATCTGAAACAATGACACCAACATAAGTCTGAGTTTATGAAGAGATTTAATTACATTTTTGTTTTTAAAAAATTCTTGCAAGATACATATTTAGGAAGTATAGACTGCAAAAACAGCACAACTACTACTGTATTTTACCTATTTTCCTGAAGTTCATCTTGGCTTTTACCTCATGGAATGATTCTCTGATACAGAAGTAATAATAATACTGAAATATTCATCAAGACTGTTGCAAAGATTACTGAGATGTAATTGAAATGTGTATGGTAAAGTGCTATATGAGAATATACAGTAATATAGTAATATAACAGGATTTTAAGAACACAGTCTATTATTTTTTCTTCTGCTCCACCCCAGTACGCTGGCTGTACTATTCACCTCCTGCGTTCTTATTTTTTGCCCTTTAGGCTAGAATACAAATCAACCAGATTATTCTGTGAAATTGTGACCCAATCCAGTCCAGGTTGACATGCCTAATTTTTGGAACTCATTTAATTCAAGTTGGGAAGTTAAAAGGAGAAAGATGCAAGGGATGGTCGAAATGACAGGGTAAAGCTTAAAGCCTCATAAATATAAGGACTATGCTGGCCATTTTACACTCTGGGATAACACATCATTGTGTTCCCTACATTAGCATACAGTATAACTGAAATTTAAATTATGTTGGGCCAATAACATCTTTATTTTGGGGAAACTTTGGGGCTTATCTCTGTGAGTTTGTTCTTCTTTATGGAAGCAATTACTTTCTTTTTTTAGAACTGACCTTGTGTTCCTCATTTTTCTCTGAATTTGTTCACTAATAATATGTGTGCGCACTCACACACACAGCCTCCTGCTACTGCCAAGATCCTTGTCAAAACTTAATAGGGGCATATGATCCCTTTTCTTTATATTTGTTTAAATACTGCAGTGGCTTTCCCTAAATAAATGAGGGAAGAAAGATGGAAAAGTTAGACCAATTGGAAGCTCAGGTGTTATTTTTCAGGCTGTTAGGTTTAAAGTGAATATGCAAGTTTCCAACTGTTCTAACTCTGAAGGTGATTTGTGGTACCAAATGTTAGCTTCACAGGTTCTGTTGTTGGCATCCGCTGGTATTCTGCTGGGTAAAAATTAAAAATTCTCAAAGCAGCTGGTAGTTAGTTGCTGGTAGCTTCTTCCATTTTAGGCTACTTAAGCAATACTTTATTTCAAGAGCTAGCATGAAACAATTTATTGCCATCTCAGAACATTATGTGATAGAATATTTACTTTGGACTCATGCCACTTTTGAAAGACATAGTGTGTGGGGTTTTTTTTATGTAGATGTGAAACACTTTGAAGTTACATTAGAGTAGAGAGTTCCCAAACTTTCCGGCTTTGCGGACCAATGTGGGGGGGACAGTTCCATGTGAGGGGCGTTCAAGCATGCGCACAGCTCCATTTGCACAAGCAGCAGGCAAGCGCGCCCGCCGCCCACACAAATGCGCATGTGCTCGCCCACTGCTAGCAGAAGTGGGGATGCGTGCTCGCCTACCATCTCCGCAGCCTGGTTCTAAAAGTCTCAAAGCCCAGTGGTGAGCTTCAGCCTGGAGATTGGAGACCCCTGATATATGCCAGAGAGAGATATGTCATACGTAGTTGAGGAGCACCAGCTAAAGAACATGAAGGAGAGAAAAACAGCCAAATACGTTCATATATCATTTATCCAAGAGCAGCTTTGAAGCCTGCAACTGGCAGGTTAAGACTTTCAATTACATTCCTGGGCCAAGCTGTAGATAAACCAAAGATGGGCACTTACAGGCATTTGCCAGTTTTGCATAATGTGGACTGTGTTTCATTTAATAGGAGCTACTAGTTGGAAAATACAATTGCACTGTTGACCTGGATACAGGAAAGGATTACAATTAATAGTATAGGTAGTCCCTGATTCATGACCAAATTTGAATTTCTGTTGTTAAGTGAGACAATTGTTAAGTGGTTTTTGCCCCATTTTATGACTTAACTTGCCACAGTTATTAAGTGAATCACTGCAGCTATTAACTTAGTAAACACGGTTGTTAAATGAATCTGGCTTCCCGTTGACTTTGCTTTTCAGAAGGTTGCATGATCCCAGAACATGCCAACCATCCTAAATATGAACCAGTTGCCAAGCATCCGATTTTTGGTCATGTGATCATGGGGATACTGCAACAGTTGTAAGTGTGAAAAAATGGTCATAAGTCACTTTTTCAATGCCATTGTAACTTCACTAAATGAACTAGAATATAACTTTATTACAGTCTTAGACCAGCAATAGACATCACTATTTACAATATAT